CAGCTTTGGCCGTGTGGCTCTGGCTTTAGGGTGAAAAATAGAAAGGACTACTGGGATAATTGATGCTGGTTAGCTGGAGCCAAGAAATTAGCTGTGATTAAGAAGAGACCAACATCACTGAGGTGAAATCTTCTGGAAAGTGTTTTCTGAGAGTACCAAGAAGCTGTGTTCCAGAGATAGCTAAGGTTGTACTTCGTGCTGCAGCTGTACTTGGTAATGCGTAAGAGTCACCCAGGTGGTACAGGTTTTGAATGCATGAAAGGGTCGTGAAGTGCAGCTGAGGCTTGGCACTGTGAGAGGCCACAGAAGACCATTGGTGAAGGTGCTGCTCCAGCTGCAGTTCATGGCCCAGGACTGAAGGGGTCATGCAAAGGAGTTGAGGCTTGGCACCATGAAGAGAGCCTATTAGAGGTTATTGGTGAAGCCTACTGGCAGCAGAAGACCCCAGCACGTTGGAGATGCTAGTTTCATGGCATGATCACCAAGAACAGCAGCAGCAGTGGAGTAGATCAACCTGAGGTCAGAGTGCTACAGAGGGCAGAGCTGGAGAAGAGAGGCCAGCCCTTTGGAGGAGCCCAAAAGATCATGTGTAGATCCCAGACATTGAAACAAGAAGCTGTAACAAGAAGTTGCCTTGGAGACCCCAAGATGTTCTAGATGGCAGAGCTGTGGGCTATCTGCTGAGGAAAGCTGCCAACAGGGAGTGGAACCAGCCCAGGAGAAAGAAGTTTGCAGTCAACAAAGATGAAAAAAGAAATGGAGATCTGAAGACTGCTTTGACAACAAAGAGATGCAGACTTGGAGTTTGCCCAGCTGGTTCCCTGTCTTGCTCTGGGGATTACAGTTAACTGATTGGATGAATCTCAGAAGGGACTTTGAACTTTGGACTTTTAACATTGTTGATACTTCTCTAGACTATGGAGACTTTTTTTGATTTTGTTTTTTGTTTTTTGTTTTCTCCAGACAGGGTTTCTCTGTGTAGCCCTGGCTGTCCTGGAACTCACTCTGTAGACCAGGCTGGCCTTGAACTCAGAAATCCACCTGCCTCTGCCTCCCAAGTGCTGGGATTAAAGGCGTGCGCCACCACTGCCCGGCTAATGGAGACTTTTAAAGTTGGACTAAATGTACTTTTCTTATTATGCTATGGCTAGGTATGGCCCCCAAAGACTCATGTGTTTGAACAACCCTATGGGGGCCAGGGGGTGGAATGTCATGGTTTGAACATGCTTAGTCCAGGGAGTGGCACTATTTGGAGGTGTGGCCTTATTGGAGTAGGTGTGTCACCGTGGGCGTGGGCTTTAAGACCCTCATCCTAGCTGCCTGGAAGTGAGTATTCTGCTAGCAGCCTTCAGATGAAGATGTAGAACTCTCAGCTCCTCCTGCACCATGCCTGCCTGGATGCTGCCACGCTCCCACCTTGATGATAATGAACTGAACTCTGAATCTGTAAGCCAGCCCCAATTAAATGTTGTCCTTTATAAGACACCTTGGTCATAGTATCTGTTCACAGCACTAAAATCCTAAGATAGAGATGTACAACCAAGTCAATTTTATTCGGGTATCACCCAGTAACTCTCAGTTTTGCTTCTGTTGTATGGATGTGCTGGTTGGTTTTACTGTCAGCCTGACACAACTAAGAATCACCTTGAGAGAGAAATTATCTGTATCATGTTGGCCTGTGGTCATGTCTGTAAAGACTGTCTTGATTGCCCTGTGTGGACAGCAACACTTTATGAGCTGGGCCCTGAACAGTGTAATCAGAGCAAGTGTGGACAGAGCTATCCTACTCCTACTTGTGGGCCAATGCTTTAGGTTCCTGTGCTGGCTTCTCTGCTATAGGGGACTGTCACCTGGAACAAGCCCTTCCCTTCTTAGAGCTGGGTTTGTGCTCAGGGTGCTTTATCACAGCAGAGGTGAGACTGGAACCATGAGCTCTGACAGACAGTAGCCGGCTCTTTGCCACTTTGTTACATAAGGAAACCTCCCCTCTCATTCTGTGCCAGGGTTTCCATGACAAAGACTGCAATTTTCTGCACAGACTCCCTCGTCAGGATAGAGCTGTGGGTCTGGGTGGGGCCTGCTCAAGTCTCAGAGGTGAAGACCCTAGGTCCAGAAACTGATTTAGGTCAGCCACACCTGCCTGGGGTCCCCACATGCAGAAGACACCAAGGCCAGGCCATTGTCATCTGGCTTGATGAGATGACAGAGAAGGGAGTCCAAAGCAGAACGACAGCGACAGCGGCAGCTAACACCGAAGCTGCACTCTGAGAGTCCTCACATCTACTTCCCACAGGAATGCTCGAACAGAAGAACCATGGGTGGCTAACAACAACGCATCCACTTCTCAGCTGCTTTGCTCCCTGCCCTGTCCTTACTCTCTCCTGGCAGTCACTCTCCTGTCCCTCTCCTGTGGCCGCCTGCTTTCACCTATGCCAGTTTTCCTCTCTGCTTCTCATAGATCCAGCTGAGTGTCGCATCGGAGACCCTGAGGCCCTTCCCTACCCAGCTGCACTAACTGCTCGTCTCAGCGTGCAGCCAGCTCTGTGCAGCTCTCTGTCTCCAGACTCCACGCTAGCAGGACTGGGATCACTTTTTCCCTTGAGACATTGCAACATGTAGCACAGTATGACCTTGAACTCACAATTCTCTAAGTGCTGGGATTACAAGTGAGCCACTAAGCCCAGCTAGACTACTTCTCAATCCACTTTGTGCTTTCATCCTGTGGGACATACACAGTGGATACTCTGTAATGCACTGGTCTTTGGCTGAAAAAGAGAAGTCACTTATGGCCTACCTTTGGCTTTTGGGGCAGAGGTTAGGATTACAGGGATCCTTGGAGATACAAGGTCCAAACTCAAACTGATGGTCTTGGAGACCCACACAGCGAGCGATGCAGGCACTGGGGTAGGTGCGTCCATTCTGTGCACACACTGGGACAAACTGATCTGCACAGTTACAGGGCAGACCTGAGGAGAGAAAACAGCCTCACATGAAGACATCTGTCCCTGCCCTACGTGTTGATGAAGGCAAACCACTGACAAATCATACTGAAATGGAATCGTACATTAACTCAGGAAAAAGACAAAAACAAAACAAATCTCTCCCACAACCCCTGACATGGATTTATTTATTTATTTATGAGACAGGGTCTTACTATGTATCCTTGGCTGACCTGGAACTCTATGTAGACCAGGTTGGGGTCAAACTCAGATATCTGCTTGCCTCTGCCTCTTGAGTGCTAGGTTCTAAGGTGCGTGGCCCCATGTCTCGTTCTAACAGAGATTTTTAAAGACAGTAAAGCTCTGAAAAGCTAACTTTCTGCAACTCGGCATTCCTTTGTTCTTTTCATTGCTATTTAATAGGTGTCTGCAGACAGACCCAGGCAGAAATAGGGCTATAGGTAGGATCAACAAATCTCACTTCTCCTGACCTAGCAAATCAAACTTAGAAATCAGATCACTGAAGTCTAGCTTGGGGGGTTTCCTGAATCTTGTTTGTGGGAGCCTGTGCAAATCAGTGGATGACAAGAGATGCCTGAGAAAGAACATGATGAGAAACAAAACTAGAACTCCGTGGACCATAGACTACCTCACAGGGCTGTGCAGTGGATCCTTTGCAAACAGGAAGAAGGTATGTGCTCTCAGATGGAATACTGAAGTACTATGTGCATCTGCAGTTAAGGCAGGGCCTACACTGCCTAGAAGAGAATGAGTGCCCCCAAGGACAGGCTCTGGATGCCATGGCTACCTGTGAAGGTGCGACGGTCATCCTCTGAACTGTGCTCACTGAGGCACAGACGGGTGGAACACACTAAATTGCCGGCAAAACAAGAACAGACATTGCAGTCAATAGTAAAGGATGTTCCATGGCCTGAAAGAGAGAAAATGTCAATTACATTACATACTAAGAACAGACCACAGGGCTGTGAGATGGCTTCGTGGGTAGATGCCTGAGATTCTGCCCACCTGAATCCATTCCCCAGACCTATGTGGTAGAAGGAGAGAACTAATCAAGTCCTCCAAGCTTTTCTCTGATAGCCACAGTGTGCTGTGGCCCAGACACACTGACAGATACACACACACGCACACACACAAAACAAATACGAATTAAAAATTTGTTTAAAACTTTAAAATTTTGAAAATTTAAAAGTCTGAAATAAAAAAATCTATTACCATTGTGTGTGCATGCACACATGTGGGTGCACGTGTGTATCACAGTTTGAATGTGCAGGTCGAAGGCAGCTTTTCAGAGCTGGTTCTCACCTTCCATGGTAGAGTCTGGGACCAAATGTCAGGCTCGTGCAGCAAGCAAGCCTCAGGGATCCTGCTGTCTGCCTCACCAAGGCTGGGACTGCAAGTGTGTACCACTATGCCCAGCATCTTCACATGGTTATGGGGAATCAAATTTAGGTTGTCGCAAAATGCTTTGTCAAATGAAGCATCCCCCAAGCCCCTCAAAAAGTTTTACAACGTCAATTCTTGAAAGACAACTTATGAATACATAAACTAGGGGCTTAAATCTGAGGTATTTAATTTGAGACAAAGTCTCATTATGTAGCACTGGCTGTCCTGGAGCTTGATTTGTTGACCAGGTTGGCCTCAAACGACAGGGATCTCATGTCTAAAATGCAGTGGTACACTTTTAGAAAACTCATTTTATTACCCATAAATCGCACTACCCCATCCAAGTCTCCCTATATATCTCAGGCTGGCCTGAAGCTCACTATGTCACCCAGGGTTGCCTGACACTCAGTCTCTCAAGTCCTGGGATCACAGGCATGAGCTCTAGTGCCTGGCAGAGTGACTCTAGGAGAATCAGTTGTGACGTAGGGATAGTGTGATGCTTTGTATATACTTGGCCCAGGAAGTGGCACTATTTGGAGGTGTGGCCTTGCTGGAGTAGGTTTGTCACTGTGGGTGTGGGCTTTAAGACCCTCATCCTAGCTGCCTGGAAGTGAATATTCTGCTAGCAGCCTTCAGATGAAGATGTTCAACTCTCAGTTCCTCCTGCACCATGCCTGCCTGGATGCTGCCATGCTCCTGCCTTGATGATAATGGACTGAACCTCTGAACCTGTAAGCTAGCCCCAAATGTATGATGTCCTTATAAGAGTAGCCTTGGTCATGGTGTCTGCTCACAGCAGTGAAACCTTAACTAAGAGAGGTGGTAATAGTAACAATACCTATACAAGGAGAAACTCAGATGACTAAAAGAGATAATGTGAGGTAAGACTTGGCATCATGCTTGGCACACAGTCAGAGCTCACGGAGATTCATAAGCAGGCCCTTCTTAGGAGGCTTCCAAGAGGGCTCTTTAGAAGTTCTAGTACTTGCTGCTTGTGGTGGTTCTGACTGCAATCCTATCACTCGGGAGACAGAGACAGGAAGATTTCTGTATACTCAAAGTCAACCTGGGCTATGTCGTGAGCTTGAGGCTAGTCTGGGGTACATCACAAGATCCTATTTCAAACAAAACTTTCCCCCAACACTCCCTCAGTATTCTTTAAAGATTGAGAAGTCCTGTCCTGGAGATATGATGTGCAGACTATACTGTTCAGTAAGACTCATCTAGTATCTTTGTGCAAAGTGCAGACAACCAAGCTCACACTGCAGTGAGACCAAACACGAGCATGCTCAAGACTCACTTTTTCTTTTTCCTCCAACAATACAAGACTTTTGGAGGTCAATACAGTGCATTTCCATACAGTTTTCCAAGAGGCCACTTTGTCCACAGGAACAGATCTTGTAACAACCAACTTCCCCTGCAGAGGACGGCACCTGGATCAGTGTCCCCTGGCGGACAATGAAGTCAGAAGCTTCTCCCAGTTTGCAGCCTGTACAAAAATACAGACAAGAACAGGACAATGAACTGATAATACTGTCCTATGGCAATATTTCATATTAGACATACTTTATAGATGTCTTCCAGGACTGTGTAGCTGTTAAAGATTGCAAGATTATGTTACAGAGCTGGAGAGATGGCTCAGCAGTTAAGAGCACTGGCTACTCTGCCAGAGGACCCAGGTTCATTACCCAGCACTGACATAGTGGTTCATAACCTTTATTGCTCCAGTCGACCTGACACCCTCTTGTGGCCTCTGTGGGCACTACACTCACATGGTATGCATATATAGATTCGGGTAGAACACTCAAACTCATAAAAATAAATATATATTTTTAAAAAAGATTATGTTATATAACTTTTACCAAAATAAGAAATTGCTTTTGTTCACTGGTCAAAAGATATAACCTCTCAAATGAAAATTTCATGTCTTATGGATGATTAAGGACATGTACCCCAAATAATTTAGTACAAAAATACTATGAAGATACATAACTTTGGCCAAGTACAGTAATATACACCTGTACTTCCAGAACTGGAAAGCTGAGGCAGAATGGCTTGGGCTACTGTGTAGTGAGACCTTATCAAAAAATAAACAAACGGGGACTGGAGAGAGATGGCTCAGTGGTTAAGAGCAATGACTGCTCTTCCAGAGGTCCCAAGTTCAATTCCCAGCAGCCACATGATGGCTCACAACCATTTATAATGAGATCCAATGCCCTCTCCTGGTGTGTCTGAAGACAGCTATATACAGAGTATATACATAGAATAAACAATTCTTTAAAAAACAAGCAAGCGACAAAAGCACAGCTTTCTATTTCTGTGGCCTAAACATATTTGAAGAAATGATAAAATGTTTTAAATAAAATACATAAACTGCCTATTTTTAGACTAATTTTGGGCAGGACAATTTTTAGTGATGGAATATAAGCATACTACTATAAATTCAAAGAAAACTTGAGTATTTGGATGGGATTAAGGAAAACCCATTTTCTAGGTAATACATTTTCAATTTATCATAAACTGGGGTTTCTGAGTTTAACAAAACAGTTTGGAACTGTTCTATATTACATATTGTAGAGTAGAGATCTTGCCATTTTCTTGGTGAAGAAAGCACTGGCTGAACACTAACACAATGGCAAAGGACATGAAGCAGCAGTCTGAGGTGGAGAACAGCCACTATCTCCTTCAGCTGGACTCATTGCTGCTTGGTAGCTGACACACTATCATGTTATTCAGGCAGACAGTCCTTTAGACTCCATGCTGAGTCAATCTTTTGCTCCTTTTTTTTACTTGAGCAACTGACAGAGAAAAGGATTATCAAAATCCCCCGTCTCTGTCTCTGTCTCTGTCTCCCTTAGTTCTTAGAGGTCTCCTCATGTAGCCCTGGCTGTCCTGGAACTCATTATGTAGCCCAGGCTGGCACTGCACTCACAGATCCGCTGGCCTCGAGTGCTAGGATGAAAAGGGTATGCCGCCATGCCCAGCTGTCTCTATCATTTCCACATAACACTACTCTTATTTTTATTGAAATACAGTGTCATGTTGCTTAAGCTGGCCTCGGATCCAGTGTGTAGCTGGGATAACCTTGCTCTCCTGCTGACACTTCAGCATTTTGTGGTGCTGGGGACTGAATCCCAGGCTTTCCGCATTAGGCAAACACCACTGTAGAGCTACATTTGCAGCCTTACAGAGGTGATAAGTATCGTAGAGAGCATGGTATTTTCTCCATGTGCTACAGAGAAGAGAAGAACGCCATGAACAATGTTTTTCAAACATTACAGCACGGAAGAACAGGTACAAGTGGTTGGCTGGAGCTTCTCTTTTGTTCTATAGTCAAGAACCCTGTAACTCAGTATGACAGTTATGTTGGTATTGATAGCATTAGTTTTCAATTTAAATGACAACTGAAATTTTATGTGTGTTGTGGTAATTACTTAATCTCAATCAGGGGTTCTACCTTGCCTTTGATCATTTAGTTCCCAGATAAAAGACATAACCTTTGTATTTATGATAAGCCTTTAAAACACTATCCTCCATGCTATTATGTCTACTTCCCTGTTAATAACCCTGAGACATGACTTGTCATGTTCTACCCGGGCCACTCTTACTCTGATTAGCCAGTTCTCACTATCTCTTACCCCATGGCATCTTCTCCTCTCTCCATCTTTTCTTTTTCTTCCTCATGGTCTCTGCCCCAGTCCTCAAGCCTGGGAACCAAAACCCCACCTACCCCTCTTCTGCCCAGCTATAGGCAATAGTTTTAAACTAAGGAGCAAAGTTACACAGCATCACTTGGTGTACATGAGGATTTTCTCATCCCGGGGGCAACCGGACCTTGGGAGCCAGTATTTAGCATTACAACACATAGTAACAAACCAAATATCAACATATGTGTCTTTGTTTGCATAAATATTTTTTGTAGGAAAATCCTTAAACATTACATAAAAAGATAGCATAGAAAACGTCCCTGGAACCTGGGTGTAAGACAACTCCTCTAAGGAAGCTTCTAAGGAAGCCATGTCCCATGCTCATCTCACTCACAGCCCCCATCTCTTACCTTGAACACACGAATACGGAAGGCAGGGATCTCCAGACGGACACCCCTTTCGGTTCACTTCACAGAGCTCATTGGCTGGGCAAGGATTTGGATTACAGGGATGAGTCACCTCTTCTATGATGTTACCTAAAGCACTTGGCCCTGAAAACCACAAAACTATCAGTGTAACCAATCTAAAAGAACACCACGTCTTCAAGTTACCTAACTTCATCATGGCTGGAGTAGACAGAGTTCACAGGCAGGAAGCAAGGCCTGAGTCTAACCAGCCCTAACTAAACATTTGGATTTTTTCATTTGTCAGTTTATCACAATGCACCCAACCATTCACTTACTAATGGGGACCTACAGTAGAGCTGGCAGGTCCTGGATACTAGATACACTAATGAACAAAACAGAGAAGCTAACCTGGAGTTACTATCTGGAAGAGAATAAGATAAACTCAGATAACTTCAGTGGCCAGCAGTTCAGAGATTGGACATATTTGGGGTATGGTGATCAAATACATGTTTATGTGTAAGAGGGGTCATTTTTCACTTTAAAAATAATAAATGTCAATGTGTTATGGAGACATGAGCCCATAACACAATCGTATCTACCCTCCAACATCCTGGCAAGGCAGAACAGCACTTCAAGCACAGGGGGTATTTAAAGAGAGTGCTACTATTCATGCTGGAGCATCGTCCAGCTCCTGCTGCTAGCATTTTCTTCCACACACACTGCTGTAGGCTGCTAGCACCATGAATGTATTAAGGTGCTTACCTGATCCCCAGCCTCACTCGGCTCCGAGACTTACAGAGACAGGGGCTGTGGAGCCTTCTCGCTCAGCCCCATCGGTCTGGGCAGCTTTACCTGGAACTTGGGAAGGGATCTTCCCAAGGTCACAGGGGTAAAAGCTAGGGCATGTACCACAGTCTCTCTATTCTGAGAGCCCAACAGATACTGTCAGTTATACATTCACCACCCTGTCTTCCCTACTTGTTTAGTAGATTCTTATTTTTATTCAAGGTGGTCATAGGCTCAAAGCTAAAAAGACCACACACCCAAGTTTTCCATACACTTGTAAGTGTTCCCTGCAATTAAGGAGAAGTCTCTCCCCCTCCCTCTTCTCTTTTGCCAACTGGAGTCAGTTGGATAAAACACCAGCAGCCACGGCAGGACAGTAAAATGCAGGGAATAACTGAGCAGAGTGCAGAAAGGCTGAGAAGCCTGCATTCCTGATGCTGCACCACCATAAACATCCTGGCCTACTTGCTTCTGAGCTTTCCTGTGCTTCTAACTGTTCTGTTATTGAAAGTTGGGCTTAATCCTAACTGGAAAATTAGCAACTAGGCTCCTCTGTTGGCCAGCCAGCTTATGCCGCTGGCGCCCCCTGGTGGCAGCCCAGACACTAAGGGCATGGTCTCTGACACTGGTCTCACTGCTGCTAAGGAGCTCTTTCTGGAATTCCTCCTTTAAGGAGGTACCAACCTACTGCCTTATCTATTGGCAGAAGTGTCTGGCAGGGAGAAACTAAAGTAGTGAGACAAGTTCCACTTCCCCGTGCGAGCCCAGGGGAGAGCTCTTTCTTCTCTTCTCTATTGGGTAAGTCCAAGCCAGGCCTGCCTCAGGTCCTAATAAACGGATGACAAACGCTGACAGCTTCCTAGGGGAAATTCCACTTTCTGGGCACACCATGACTTCTGATGATACTGTCCTTTGCTTTGATCTTTACAATTCCTGACTAGTAAATAGTTCATATTTCCTCCAAAAGATAAAATACAACTTCTGCTTACACATTTAAAGACGACAATGACAAGTTGACAGGATCTAATCACTTAGGAGACAAAACTCTGGACCCCTGGGTGAGACATTAGCCCTGCCCTATGTGATGGCACCATTCCATTAGTTGGGGACCTGACTGAAAAAATGAGTTGAGCACAGCCTCTGGCTTCCGAATGCCTGATGCTCTTGCTTCCCACTCCTGTTGCCATGGTTGCCCCCCTGTACCCTTGAACTGTGAGCCAAGTAAACCCTTCCTCCATTAAAATGCTTTTGTTGGGTATTTTTGTCACAGCAACAAGAAAGTAACTAATGCAGATGGTATCATCGAACAATAGTTCTCATCCAAGGCAGGGAACAAGAGCAGAGGCCGTGAAAGAAGCACCTGAACTCTAAAACCAAACCCACCCAGTACTTACTGAGGTACGGATCCAGAGGTATACAGTTCTCCAGGTCATCTGCAGGGGACAGAAACTCACAGATACTTTCAGCCGTGTGGTCTTCAGGGAATTTATTCTGGTCTCCACATTTCTTGAGAATCTCTACACAATCTGATCTTAAAAGAAAAGAGAACATTTTGGATTCATGGCTCTGCCTCATGTTGTCTGGTCAAAACTGTTTCTGAAACTTCTCAGAAGCTTTTGTTATACTTCAGAAGTTCTCCCAGCTGGTTAGGACTAAGTCTAGTCCAAGGGCAGTCACAGTGGACTTCTAGCTACACAGTAAATCCAAAGCCTAACTTCCTGTAATCTGAGACCAAAGGTCTCATTCCAGATTTACATTTACTGCTCCAAGCCTGGTGTAGCTTCTACTGCCTTTAAAGGAAAGTGAGCTAGGCTAGTCTGTCTTGCAAACTGTAAGCCATTTCCAAGGCCTGTGTCAGCTGCTTCCGCTCCCCTTCCGTTCCTCCCTTTATTTTAAGATCTTTTTAGCTATCACTGCTAAGGTGTTTGGCTTATAACAATCAGAGAGTTTACAACTTTTTTTTTTTTTTTTTAAGCTTAGGGACTGGAGAGATGGCTCCATAGTTAAAAGCACTTGTTGCTCTTGAAAAAGGACATGGCTTTAGTTTTTAGAACCTACACGCTGGCTGAAAACCATCTGTAATCCCGGTTTTAGGGGTCTTTTGACCTCCGTGGGTACCAGGCATGCATGCATGTGGTGCACATACATACATGTAGACAAAACATTCATACACATAAGACCCATATATTTTTAATAGTTTTCTTTAGTCTTGAGTAAAGGCTTGACTCCTTAGGTGAAGTTTCCTACGAGCATGTCCTTCCCATGTGTGACCTTTGACTTATTATCACATAACTAGACCCCCAACTTCTCCCTTATTCAGCTCATTCTTGAGTCATGTCAGAAAACTGATTAGAAGCCAGGCATGACAGTTCATGCCTGTAATCTCTGTTCAGGAGGCTGAGGCAGGAGGATTGTTATGAGGTCAAAGCCAGGCTGAGTAGAGTGAGACAGGAAGACTCCAAAATAAAAACTAAACCAAATAAGAAAAAATAAAAATGATCTGGACGGTTAATAACCTGAACTGAGCAGTACTGAGCCAAACACTAAGGGTTTAGGGCTTGGTGTGGACTTGGTCTTGGAAAAGCTTTTGAAAAACATGCCTGAAGAGCAGCTGAAGGCTATGTAGTGAGGGTCTGTTTCTCCCACCAGGCAGTTGTCATCCTGGCCTCGTCTTAGATCTCCTAAGTAAACCATTCAGAACTGTTTCCTAGGAACAGGATTTGATGACTGGTCACTGACTCCCACTGGATAATAATACAGACTGAACAGTAGCCGCGGAGGAGGACGAGGAGAGAGGGAAAAGGG